AATGAAAGAAAGAAGGAAGGAAGGAATTAGAAGGAAGGAGGGAAGGAAGAGGAGAACGAAAAAGAAAGAAAGAAAGAAAGAAAAAAGGAAGGAAAAAGAAAAAGGAAGAAGAAGGAGAAAGGAAGAAAAAGAAAAGGGCAAAGGAAAGGAAGGAAGGAGAAAGAAGGAAAGAGAAAAAAGGAAAAAGAGGGAAAGGGAAGGAAGAAAAGAAGAAAGGAAAAAGGAAGAAAAAGGAAGGAAGGAAGAGAAAAAAGAAGGAAGGGAGGAGAGAGAGAGAAAGGAAGGAAGGAAGGAAGGAAGGAAGGAAGGAAGGAAGGAAGGAAGGAAGGAAAGCAAGGAAGAAGATTCTTTGGACCTGATGTCCTTCTTCTTCCACTTCTCTGTATCTTTGTCTTGTATTTTTTTGGGTAAGTGGACCGTCCCCTCTGTACGTCCAGTGTGTTCTGTGGGCAGTATTTCTCCATTTCCTTCACCGAGATAACCGTTTCTTTCCATTAAACACTCGAGGTTCTCCTGTGTGGCTGTGTTTCATTTTCCTTTCAACAGAAGAGAATGGACTTTGCTCAAAGTTGAACGGTGGAGTCCGTGGTACTCTTGAGCTTGGGGGTTTTCTGGCAGATATCTCATTGCCCAAGTAGGTAACATCATCAGTGCTGGTACGTGAGGGGTTTGCCGCCTGTTTGCTCTTAGGTACAACCCATATCCAGATAAGCAGAAATTAATACCAGACAAATAATCACGCAGAAAACAATACCTTAATTAAGAAACTACTAAGGAGAAGGCCACACACCCCACAAATACAGGTACTCCTCAATTTAAAACAGTTCACTCAGTGACCGTTGGAAGTTACAATGGCACTGAAAGGAGACATGACCGTTTTTCACACTTACGACCATTGAAGGCATCCCCACGGTCCCGTGATCAAACTTCAGGCGCTTATCAACTGAGTCATATTTATGACAGTCGCAGTGTCCCGGGGTCACGTGATCCCCTGTTGGGACCTCCTGACAAACAAAGTCAGTGGGGAAACCAGGTTCACTTACCCACTGAACAACTGCAGCGATTCGCTTAACGACGGTGGCAAGAAAGCTCATAAAATGGGGCAAGACTCACTTCACCAATGTCTCACTTAGCAACAGAAATTTCAGCCTTGATTGTGGCCGTACGCTGAAGGCTACCTGTACATAAACCGGGAGAACAACATCACACCCATTCATACTGATGATGTTACCTAGCTAGGTAATGAAACGTCTGCAAGGAAGATAGCAAAAATCCAGAAAGCACCAAAGTCTTCATTCTCCTTTCTTTGTGAGGTGTACAGATGGGGCCTTGTCTGCTTTGCAACTGTTCTGACCCAGGCTTAGCAGAACCAAGAAACAGCCTCCGCGTCGCCCAAAAAAACCCTTTTTATTTGGTTACTGTGAATTCACGGCATTCACACACAGAAAAATCTCAGCAATTTTCTGAATACGAACTAATGTCTCCTGCAACCACCACGCCCCTTTTGCTTCTATTTATTCCCCAGGGATGGCCCATTCAGCGTCCACGTGTGTACCTTTCGGCCCCTGTTCCTCAGTTGTTCTCTTCTCCTGACAGCTCTGTGCCTACGCGCATCTGGAACAGGCTCCAGCTGCTCTTCTTCCCCACTTATCTCCGACTCCAAAGGCAGCTGGGAAATGCCGGACGGCCCTGGCTCTATCTCTGCTTCCAACGCGGGGCATCTATCAGAGTCTTCCCCAGACTCCACAATCGGCCCGAGTTCCTCCCCAATCGTCCGAATCTGCCACCGCCAGCTCTGCTGGCAGCTGGCGGGCCACAACGGCAACCTAGAAAGAGCCAC